GAATGCACACATGTACGTACACACTTTCTCCTGAGCCCAACACTCAGGCCCACGTGGGCGCACACACCCACACTCCACGCATGGGTCCCAACGCCCCCCACCAGGCACACTCGTGCACACACGTGTGCACACGGACGTCCATGTGCTGACAGAGTCGGGCAAGGGAGCAAGGTGAGGGCAAGGTGGCAGGCCCAGGCCCCCGGGCCCGTCCAGGGGGCCCCAGCACACTGTTTAGTGTTTTCCTGCCGTCGTCCTGACAACGTGCCTGGCCAGAGGCCAAGGCATGTTTTCTGAGAACATTACACTCCTGAGGAGCTGTGGCCCCTCCAAGGGCCGCCCCTGCTCCCTGCCGTCTGCACGTGACCCCCGAGCCCTCAGGGACAGGGAGCTCGGGGCGGGCAGAGCAAGGTAGCAGGGTAGGGGTCTCGCCAAAGCCCCACACTGGGAGAGGCTGCGCTGGCCCCCAGCCCCTGACCCGGCGGCCCAAGGACGGAGCCGGCTCAGCCCCTTTCCTCTGGGCCTCCTCCCTTCCCGCCCGCCTGCCCCAGGATGTGAGTAATGCGGCCCCTCCTGGCCCCTCCCATGACCTCACCCCCTCACTGTTCCACAGCTGGGTTTCGTTCTGGGAACTGAGAGGGGGGCGGCTCTCCTGGGGTGGGGTGGGGGCCTCTGGCCTGGGAAAGGCGCCCCCGGCCGGCGGCCCAGACCCCTTGGCACGCTCGGCGGAGCTGTCAGGATGCTGGCGTCGGCTGGCCGGCCCGCCCGTGGCCCTGGCTCAGCCCGTGCGCAGCTGCGAGGGATTTGGTGTTCCTGCACAAATGCAATTATCTCTTTCCTGCGTCTGCTCTGGCTCCGGGCGCGCCCAGGGTTCAGCCCCAGGGGCTGCTGAATGGGCTCTGCACCCCCGCCTCCCTGTGTCACGCTCCAGCGTGGCGCCTCGCCCCACCAGGTACACGAGCGTGCACAGACCCCAACGGGCCGGCTATGGCCCCCCGTCCTCAGTTGGGCTCCCCAAGTTCAGGGGCTACCCCTGCGGAACACGTCCCCTGCCTACGGGGCCCCTCCTCTCCTTCCTCCGCAGCCCCCCAGCCTCCACCAAGGCTTCGACGGTGCCAGTCCTGGTCCTGGTCTGGCCCTCCCCGCCGTCCCAACCTCCTTCCTCCCCTGCCCTGTGGTGGCTCCAGAGGGGGCATCAAGCCTCGGTCCCGTCTCGACTCTGCCCCCTGCAGGCAGCTCACGGCCACCCCACCTGCTTCCCGGCGCCGAAAGCTTTTCAGCGTTCTGGAAAGAGCTTCGGGGCTCAGCTGGGGGGCCGGAGCCCAAGGGAGGACCGGCCTGCGGGCCAGGCCAGAAGTGGGGAACTTCCCCTTGAGACCTGCAGGGCACCCTCCCGGCCACTGTCCCCTGGACACCACGGGCAGGAGCTGGCTGGGAGGCCTGGGGAGCTGGGCTGGTCACCCAGCCGGAGCAGGGGGCCCCTGTCTCCCTGTGACCATCAAGGTATCCAGTCCCCTCCCGTGCCCCCCACCCTGGGGTCTTGTACGCCAAGGTGGACATCTGCAGAGCAACCGGCGCCTCAAGTGACCACAGAGCCCACGCGTGAAGGGACAGGGTGTGGGGGGACCCGAGCCCCAGAGAGGCCACCCGGCCTGGCTTCCGGGGCTGGGGGACAGCACGCACCCCCCACCACCTCGGCTTAGAGCAGCCCCCGAGCGCAGAGACTGGGCCCCCCCGGGAGCTCAGGAGAGGGCAGTGGTGCCTGGGCAGCGCCCGCACCCCACAAATCAAGGGGTGCCCCTCACTGGTGGGCAGCGTGGGTCCCGCCCAGGCAGCCCGGGGGAGGGTCCCCGGCGGGCGCCGGGATGCTGGCTGTCACTCATCCGTGCAGTGAGGCAGCTGTGAGGGGTGAGCCAGGCACAGAGATGGCCCCGAGCGAGCAGGTGGGCAGTGGGTGGGGTGGCAGAGGGTGTGGGCACGGGAGCCGCGGCTGCTGGGAACCTGGCCACCGCCCCCCTGCCCTGCCGACTGCCCTGGCACTGGTCCAGCCCCCCTCCCGGCCCACCCCCGCTTCAGCAGTGCCTTCCTGGGCGTGTCTGTACCCCACTGGGGGTCTTATGCTAGGGAGACACCCCACAGGGCAAGCCCCACCCCACTGTCCAGGGAAGCTCAGGAATCGAACTTGAACTTGAGTCTGAAAGATTGTGGGTCAGACCCCAGAGGCTGAGGGCAAGATCAGAGGCGGGGCCAGCGGGCGGGAGAGCTCCGAGTGGTGCCCTGCCTCCCCTGTGGGGCGTCCCCGGGCGAGCCCATGCCAGCACAGGTGCCGTCAGATCAGCATTTGGGAAGGAGGCCCAGCTGGGACGCGGAGAAGGGGGAGATGCCAGCTGGGGGTGGGGGGCAGTTAGGAGGGGGAAGCTGCAGCCTGGGTGCTGCAGGGGCAAAGGGACGGGCCTCCAGAACTCCCCAGGAGGGGAGAGGTGGGAACCTGGGAGGGGTCAGCCTG